TGATACCGATGAGCGTAACACAGATGCCAGCGGTCAAATGCAAAACATCCCAGCGACCCTGTAATGTAAAAGCTATAATATATATCGATGTATGGTCAAAACTATTACAATAAGTTTTCTAGCGCGCCAGAATAACGCGATATGTTTGTATTGAACACTATCGCTTGGATCGACAAACAATACGAGTATCCCAGAGAATTGCCGAGAAAAGAATAGTGAAGGATTTTCTTCCCTGCTTGTACTATTCTAATCTAAGGAAGAGTATGATCTCCATGAAGTTCATAACGCTAGCTCTTGCTCTGATGACTGTTACTATAACTACTGCTACCTATAATAATGAAAGCTTACTTTAATTTCTTTGAATAACAGGATAGCCCAAACTGAGCACACGATGCCAGGTGCCTTCGCCAGAATCGGGTACGCGACTATCTGAAAGCTTTCGATTGTCTTCTTGACAAAGCGGCTGTCCATAATTTTCTCTGTTTTGACTAGTGACTAACTATAACAAACAGTGAAAAAGCATGACTCGCTTTCATAACAACAAAATTGCTGAAAAACATGACGTTCATTTTCAATGCCACTTAGTTTGAGGAAGGAGTATCGAAATAACACCGCTGCCAAAAATAAGCATGACCGTTAAGTTACACATAAAACGAGTGGGAAGCACGACACTAACACTGCTTCCATGGCCAAAATGTAAGTTGGAAAATACGATTCCTTATAAAGCTAGACATCAGAAGTTGGAAATTCTGTAATGCTAGAGGATCAAGTAGCCTATGAACACATATGAAATATCAGAAATTTCATTCCAAGAAGAGACCACGATAAAGAAGAAATATTTCGGCAAGTATATGTCCAAATGAAGTATCACTTCCCCACCAAGGAAGGGAGCTGACCAGGGTCAGTCCTATCGTTGCTACTTTTCGAAAAGTTTTTACGACCCCCCTCCTTCATGAAAAGTTTCCTACGACCCCCCTTTCAAAACAATTTTTACCCCAAAAAATTACCGTCGAGCGGGGGGGGGGTATATACTTCCCTTAAAACCGCAAAAATTCCCTACATTTCCCTACAATTTCCCTATATTTTACCCATATTTCAACTGCTCCATTTTCTAGGGGGGGTATATACGCGCGCTGAAACGGCAAATTTTCTCCCGCGCCGCTCCCCTCATCACATGCAACTTCTTACAACCGAAGCAAGTACGACCCCCCCCTACAAACTCATCAAAATACGACCCCCCCGTTGCTACTTGTAGCAACATAGGGTTGACCCTGGGAGACGCTTTCTCGACGAAAGGGCGCTGGCTTGCACAGCAAAAGCGCTCGTCCCCCGCCGCTCCCCTATAAGCGATCCACCCACTAGTTAGTTGGTGATTTGGACGAGCTGTGTTGCCAGCAGCGGCACAAAAGCAACTCGACTGGAGCATGGATTGGCATGGTGCCACCAAACGCGTTGCGGTAAACTCGTCATACGCCCGCTTCTTAGTCGCTGTACGTCTTTGGGCAAAGATCAACTGGCCGAAAAGTGGATCCCGTTATGCGTTTCCTTGATTTTCTTGACTGATTGTCTTTTCCGTCATCAGCATCGTTCTTACGTCTTTGTGAGTAAAGGGAAGCATTATGTTCTACAGAATATCCTTGTTTACGGCCAAGTCCTCAGCTGGATACAAAAACTGGGAAATCATCAGAGAATGTGGCACATCCTCATCGATGTGGCACGATGTTGCTTCCAATCTATCTGAGTGTCAGATTATGAGCGAAATCCAGTGCAAACGGTATCAATTTACGGCTCTCGATGAAAAGCAGCTAATCGAAGAGAGCGGGAAGTGTGAAAAGCACAGATTAAACATCCACGAGTACCCATAATGCAGAAATAAAAGAACTAAAGAAGTGTCAGAAACTTTGAAACGAGAAATAGCTTTAACTTACCGGATCAAGGTGCTGGTTCGCTGAAAAAAAGAAGAATGTTGCGGTTCCGTACATCAAACCCGATGATAAAGAAGGAACAGTAAGTTCAGGATTGATGAATGGTCTATTTCTTCTGAAAAATCCTGGACAATGATCGAGATTCTTGATCGAATCGAGATTGATTAAATCGAAAGAGACACCTCATACAAACCTGTATAATGAATAACACGTGAAGATTGTTGTTGACGTAACCAGTGCTCCTATACAGAAAGAAAAGAAAAATGTTGTATATGTGAGCGAATCACCCGAAGTTCCGCTCTGCATAATCAAATAGTTCATCGGCGTCATCATGTTTCCGTATAGGCAACCAGTGACTATGGTGAGAAGTATGGCACTGCAATGTAATTGAGATTTCGAAAACGAGAACGTTTATCATGCCGAAGTGCTACAGGGCAGCGGTTGCTGCCGCTGCTCTTACAATTCCATAGTTCACAAGCTTTATTCAACATTAAGAGCCAATGAACTGCAAATTTTGTAGGGTACACCCCTGGATGACTAGCGACGTATGAATCCTGCTGGTGAGTAGATAGAGCTGTTAACGAATACAGCAGATGTCTCCTTTTTATCCTCTGACGTGTGCAGAATGGACGTGGGGCCTTGCCAGAACCACTCAACCGCTTCTATTTTGTTCTCGTTCGCAGCATGCTGTGCTCCTCTATCACTCTCGTCTTTCTCTCTCTTCCGTGCTCGCTCTTTGAGTGCCTTAGTATAACAACATCAGACAGCTGGTTAGCTTTCAACATTAGCGTTTTCGACGGATTCACTTCCTTTTCTCCTTACTACCAGCCTCCATCGTACCAGTGCATTC